ACATTATTGGTCTATCGGTATTTCTCCACACTGGTTTGCAGAGCAATTAAACAGTGAATGGATTAAATAGCTTACCAATTATTTTCAATTGCTTTATACTGAACTATGTGTAACAAGTATTTGAGTTAGAACTGTGAGGCTATTTAAATGATCAATAAACGGCTGAAGATCTGGGGAGAGACATTTTGTATAAAATTTTCTTGTAGACTAGTATTAGATATATATTTTAGAAAACTCTTGCGAGTATATATACTTATAATCATTTGATGCTACTAAATAGCTAAATATTTTATTTAAATTATGTATTTTATATATAATTTTATTATTATCCAATAATTTTTTCAGTGTCTAAGTATCTGCCTCTTGTATTTTATTACATTAATTTTTTGACTTTGCTCAATGTTTCTTTTTGTATCCATATACCAATGATTTCCTACAGTTGGTTTCAAAGTTATTATAATATTATAACTAGATACATGTTATTTATCAAATTAATAAAATAAATTAAAAAATCAAAAATAAGTGATACATAGTAGAGCATAGTAGTTACTTGATCAGTGACATATACAAAAAAAGTCTGGATTACAAACGACATCCATTTTCAAAATAAATGAAAGCAATCAATATTATATTTATGTGATACCATTAAATTGATAGTATATGTTAAGGTTGACGGATAAACTTTCATAACGACATGTGACAATATACAGATAGTAGGCTACCTACCAAAGCTCTAAGTAAATTTATATAAATTAACTTCGATCTATTGTAAACATTATTAAAATTATAAAAGACAGTTTTTCAAATATAGTTTATCGTGCTACCGTAGACAATTTAATCCGATATTAAATATTATCAAAAAGAATATTTAAACTTTTATGTACATATACTTTCGGTCTGTTTGAAAATCGATTTGGTTTTGAACTATGTATACAATAAAATTATGTAATATTTTTGCATAAAACTCTATTTTTAATGTGATATCTCTACCTTTCCATTAAAGTGAATGTATATTAAATTTGCTGCACTGGTGAATATTATATTTCAAAACTGCTTAGCGTAGAGAAATTATATTAGCTACACCTACGTAGATACTTGGTAAGTGAGGCACTTCACTGTCTTCAATAACAAGGCGGAAAGGAAATTGTTAGCCTTGAAAACTTCATTGTTGCTCGCATTAAGCTGCCAAGGACAATATATTACGGTGAATAATGACATGCAATTTTATTATGTTGCAATATTATTATATTCCATTTTATTACGTTGCAAATTTATTATATTATATTATTATTAATTTATTTACTTTTCAACCCTTTTATTGAGATTGGATCCGGTTTTTACAGAAAGATCTCCCTAGCTTTCAGAATACATAATTGGAAATATGAGTAGGTGAAAATATGTACAGGCATTGGAGCTATTAAATATTATAAAACACAGCGTGTTCTGACTGAGTATTAGTAAAAGCAAATATAATGAAACTACTAAGTATATGACGTAAGTAAGTGTAAGCTGTTTAATGAGGTCAATATTCAAATTATGATACAGAAATGAATTTTACCATAAATTTGAATTTAAGACATTCCTAAAACGACTTCTGATTGTGATAACAGATAATTTTGAATGCAGGATAAGCATGAAATATTTTTATGTAATTACCATTATTCAAATATATCATTGTAATGGCAATACTACAATTATTGTCGGTTGTTGGCTTCTTTGGTGTAGGAGTGCTTAATGAGTGAGTGGTACATAATATATTCCTACTGCGTCATCATACGCATTTTGTCGCGAAGACATTAAATAAAAGAATCAGTCATATTGTTTTGTACGATGTTTAGTTTATTAAACCTTTATAGTGGGTAAATCTAGTTATAATTAAGAATAGAAAACTATATTCATATTACATTTATAGTAAGATTATATTATTCATAAAGTATTATATTAATAACTACGTTTACTTTTAGACATTAATTAATACATATGACTCGATCAATTGTGTATTAAGCGTGTACTGAAAATCAACTGAAAATATCTACTGCTCACATTTCTTTAGATATTTTAGTACCTACCTAAGTCTGCCTTCCACTTATTTTGTATCAATGTTACAATGTATTTCTATATAGTTAATAGTGCAATAAAGTGTTACAGACTTTTATTTGTTTTGTTGTTTATACTTCCCTGTTCGTAATTAGAGCTTTCAATTTTATTTATCTTAGTTCTAATAAAATAATAGAAATAGTAGTGCCTTGTTACTTTCTATTGAAGATATAATAATGCTAATACTTAATGAATACCATAATGGGCATTGACGATCAACCGTCATCATTAATCTATTTTTAGATAAGTTAGAAAAAAATGTTTTAATGAGAATAATTCTCTACTTCGGGATACGAATAATATCACATACAGTACACACCTTATAGGAGTTTTAGAGATGTTGTAGTACCTTTGGGAAATAAAAACTGTTGATTCGTACTTATTGATCAGTTAAGTAAGGTTACAGTTATTTGTTTAGGTACAAGGTGGTTTTTTGAGACGTCGCAGTGAACGTAGGTATTTTACTTGTGGTCTAAATAAAGACTAGAGAAAAGTAAGTTAGTTAATTAGCCTTTATAGATTCTGAAAAATAAATACAGCTAGCTAGAAAATGAGCAATTTATAAAAAAATATAATTGAATCCAAGCGATCTTGTTTTTGACTCCATCAAACCTCTAAAAATGTCAGTTACTGCAAAAGCTTTTTCTATACATTTATTAAGTACTGCAATTCCAATTAAGGTAGTCGTTTCAATTTCATATTATTCAATTCTGTCTCTTTTCATTAAATACGTTTTGTGTTTGTATTGGCAATAGGTTGAGTGTTATTGTTATAATTGTATAATAATATACAAAAGGGTGCTCTTGTCCAATTTAATACGAGATAACTTAAGTATGTTGATTTGTGTACTAGCAGGCAAGTAGACATATTGTAGTCGTCTCTATAGTTAACCTGTTATTTTCATTATTATATAACAATTAAGAAATATTTGTACCTAAAAAAATCCTATACTCAAATATATCTTTCAACAAAAGATATAATAACAAAAAATTGTACGTTATATTTCATTAGGTACTTCTTTCCGCATATGTTTATACGAGGACATATATTTGTAATTATTTCCTCCTAAATAATATTTTAGGATGTTTAATTAAGAAATAAAAACAACAATTTATCTCACAATCCTTTATATTAAAACTTATAATGTTAAAAACGATAATGAAAATAATGATGGGAGCTGGGCCCGTGAAAGTATTAAAATAAACTATAATACATAGGACGAAAAGTATTAAAATGAACTTCAATAAGACGATTTATATAACATTATGTGGAGACTGTTTACAGCAAGCTAACGCATCGCTATATACTGTTGTAATTATAGATTACACTTACATGTTGATGGCAACATCTTGTTAGAAAAATGTAGTGTTAGAGAAAGTACATCATATTATTATATAATCCAGAATCGGCTTAGGTACACACTTTATTATTAAAACAGATATAAATTGGAGAAGTTCCTTAGGAGAGATTTGTTAATCGTATATAGTAAAGTTGTCCCCCACATAAATGGCCTACGCACGACACTTGCATCAGGGATAACATCAAAACTATTATGGTGGGGATAAAATATTTGGTAGGCATATTATAAGTATTGATAACAATACAGTCGAGGCGGTCCAGGCCTTGCTGTGGCATTCTCAGGCCTCTCACCATTTCCCCGATATTGCCCCCATTTCGTGTCGTGCTCAGACCGTTTAAGTTCAACTATAAACTTACCCATTAGAATAAAAAAACAAATATATCAGCTGATAAGCGGTCGCCATTTAACTTCCATATTTAGCGATAAATGTGGGTTACTGGTATGAATCCATTAAATATTCACTATTTAGATAATCTATTGAACTTATTCTTTTTAAAGGTGGGTTTTTAATTTATATTCCCGTTAAAAGCGTTTGTAAGTCGTACCACCATTATTTTCATTGCTGTGCGCCTACACTGAGTACGAGAATATTAATGTTCTTTTTGTGATGAATGACTGCAGTAGATCACAATTACTTTAGCTTGTTCTACTTACATCAACATACATATATGTATTTATATACCTTCTTATGTATGATAACTACGTACTTTGTGGTTATTAATTATTAAATATAAATAGTTTTATAATATATCACAATATATATGTATATATATAGTTGGTAAAAACTCCGACAAAGAATTATATTCAATAAAAGTTTTCTGATTGATTTAATGTATAATTTAAAAATATAATCAAAATGTTACTCAAAGAAATATGGTTCTATTCTTATTTGAAAGGAACTACTTTTTCCTTACATTTAATTGGTAAATTTTAATAACATTCAGTTACCATTTGAAGATTGTTATATTCTATCAGATACTAGGAATTACTTATATTTTTCATTTGGTACGAATTTTTATTTGTTTGTTTACTGGTCAACGCCGTAATTTCGATATACCTGTGATGTTTATGTAAAAAAGTATAATGGTTAATGTTATTATTTATATATTAATTATTATGAATAAGTATAAGTAGTATGATTATTATAGCAATAATACCTATAATATACAGTTTTCTACATAACAAGGCATAACAAGAAACATTGCATTTTTGTTTGTTTACGGTTTTATTATTACAATCCTTATTGCTGAAATCTGTGATCATTTGTATGAAGATAGTCATTCAAGTAAGCCATCTGGGTCGATACCTTTGTCTCATCTATTTCTGTCTCCAAGCAGGGCATCCTTGGTTCTGAAATTACATAGTTGTCCTACCTTGGAAATTCACTACGTCTTAATCCGTAGGAATGACAACGATGTATTGCTCACGTGATGAGATGATCGCCGTAGTGCTGTTCAAATATATAGGCCATTTTGCCAGGTCAGTCGTTCATTTGGAACTTAAAAATTATATGTGTATATATTTTTTATGTAAATTGACTTACCTGCACCAATCCATAACGAAGTTCAATGTCCAAAAAGTAGTACTCCTTGGCATATGGTGGTCTTTGAGGAGGTACATAATGTTGTTGGTGAGAGCTCGGTGGCGCCAGCGATATGGGATGAGGCATCACCGTAGGATGGCCGCCCTGCTCCACCATAGATTGCTGCATATAACAATATGTATTCATATTAAAATCACGGCCATATTAGTGTGAAATTATGCTAATGGATTTTACATATAATATTCTAGTTATGATTATTGATTTTCATAATAGTTTAGTAGTTCGTTCTCTCCTCGGAATAAAATATGTATTAGGTGGGCATTTCAAGAGTACATAACTCAACTGTTTTACCGCATCGTCTTACTTTCGATGGGTTCAATTCTCACACAATACAAAGATTTTTATTTATAATTTTTCTATGAGAACAAATACAAAAAATACATTTAAGTACTCAATTAAACGTTTAGTATCCAAAGTACACACTTTTCTGAGAATGAGGTTAAATGGCGTTATGTAAATTATCCTAGGTTATCATTACTAATACAAAGTATGTTCAGTTCAAAGCTTATAGTTGACAATGCTTAACAATCCCATATAGATTTATACTTAGGTATTTATACTTACATTAAATATGTATTTAAACTTTAACGAATCATATAATGTTACTTAGTTCATGCAATTGAGTTGAAATAATATACGGTATATATTCCTTTAATACAATTATAATATATTATTTCTATGGTTAGTTAGAGAATATCATAACATAAGGAAATATATACAAATATAAATAAGGATCTACATTCATTGATAATTTAAAAAAATCTATTATTTTGATATCATACATATCTGCAGTTTCGCTTCATGCTGTTGATCCTATAACTACTTCATTACTAGTTACGACTGATAATTATTTGATTTATTTTATTATTCATATTTGTAAGTTATTCTGTACCTAAAAATACATTTACTGGACCTCAAATATACAAGGCAGTAGAGAAGGCAAAAATAAAGTAATATTGACAATGATCCCGTAAGTAAATAAACTTGCGAAATACGAGGTGTATTATTGTAGATAGTAAAAGATCCAATGATAAAATTTATGATATTTAACAACGTTCTTCAAAAGATAAAAATAGATTACAGTACAAACGAATAATCCTTCATACAAACTTTTTGAAGTTTAGATGTCTATTTATAATTCACTCACAAAATGTATGCTAATAAAAATAGATAAATAGCGACTATTCAACTACAGTATAAAAAAGGGTTGTATATTTAATTTGTTTAAAAGTTAATTTACATCGTTTAAAGTTTAATTAGAAAATTAGAGTTGAAAATAAGCACCATCATTTTATTTTGGGCTTATCTGAATACCTTGTTAATATTTTTAGCTTTAGCTGTACGTTTAATACTCGTATATTTATACAAATAATGTAGTAAAAACGTAACGAAACTAAAATATGTTTGTTCGTTTATGTCTTAAGGGTTTATACAAACGCGTCTGAAAGTAATTCTTTAATGAAATATTCCCAAAATGTCACATATTTTAATTTTCTTCCAATTCCTTCTAATTTGTTTAACTAAACAAAGGTCAACACATAAGATCAAGAAAGCTGAGAAAAGTTCCCCCCAGAATGGAATGAATTTTATGAGAATTTTTAACAAGTCACCTATTTTATTAGGTATTTTTTAACGAAATAATATACGCCTACGTATAGATGGTATATTTATTATTGTCATTTTATTATTATGAATAAAGGGCGTGCATGACTAAATATATAGTAAATATTAATGATTATTTCGAATACCTAAACCTTGCTTTAGTTACCACCGCTAGTATAAAGTCTATCATATATTCATACATTAATACACTATTGTATTTTTTAGAATAATAGTTACATTACATAACTAAAATTATAGGGTTGTCTTGTTAATAAATTATAAATTTTCATTCATATCATATATGTCATATCATTTATAATGAGAAAAGAAACTAAAGTATGTTCACACTTTACCAGGTCAACATGATGTTAGTACTGCTGTTAACAAATTAAATATAGATCTGACATCAATAACAGAGTGGTCAGTAAAACATTGTCTTACTCTTAATCCCAATAAAAGTAGTACTATTACATTTGGAACTAAACAATGAGTTAAAAATATTAATCAATGTAAACCGGCAATTAAATTGAACAATATTATTATACCATAGTGACAAGATAGTGTACGTAATCTGGGTCTCCTCATGGATGAGCATCTTAAATTTGAACAGCATATCCAAGGTAAAGTAGCTAAATGTTATGGGGTATTAAAAATTCTTTATAAGTTTCGTACGTTTCTCAAACTAGACATAAGACTATTATTATGCAATAGTTTAGTATTATAACTAATAAACTATTGTGATATTGTTTGTAGTCCTTGTATGATTGCTAAACTGCCAATATAAAACAAAGAGTACAGAATGCTTGTTTGAGATTTTGTTACAATATACCGCGGAGAGATCATATTACACCTTATTTAATCAGAAATAATATATTAAATTCATGCAATGTTTGTATTTTAAAGTATGCTTGTCTTTTGCACTCCATAAGGAATACAAAATTACCTTTATATATATATATATATATATATATGTAAAAACTAGTGTTTATAAATCTAAAATAGACTCCCTCAGAGACAGATGCCATCAGATTTCTAAACCTTTCATCAAGCTCACAAGAACTAGGGGTTGGTTTAAGTATGCTGCACCAAAAATTTGGAACGACTTGCCCCCGCCAGTTCGTTCGTTACTGATTTTATGCTTACCAATATTTAGGCGCAAATGTAGCAAATGGTTGCTGCAAGAACAATTCCTTGTTTCGTAGTATTGTAATCTACTAAGTTGTGTCGATATGTGTGTGTACGCGTCTGATGGTATATATGATAAAATAATCCTGAATATTTTATTTGTAAGTAATACTTGTACATTTAATAAATAAGACTAACTTCTAGCCCCGTTTTCATTTATCCAATTAAAACATAGTTACTGAATAACATACAAAAACAAACTACTCATACACATATTTCGGCACTTTGTAACTGAGCTCCTAAGATTAAATTTGATCAAGGTTCGTGTGGGTAATTATTTCTTATGTTATCTGATTGTAATTTTATGTATTACTCTAAATAACGTATAATTTCCTGATATAATATATAATTTCTATCGAGAGTATAGTCTCCTAGCAATAAAGTGAAACGTAAACAAGGTGTAAAGGACAATAAATGGCTGCACGAAATAGCAACGACGTGTAAAATCAGCAATATCGTTTTATTACGCCATTAACGGATTAAAGAGGCTGGTGTTGCCGCTCGTCAAAAAAACAATTACGAGTTTTATTGCTTTATACCACTAAAATACCGTAGAAGAGGATTGTAATAAGATTGATACGCCAGCGAGATCAGAAAATCTTGTTTCTAGTTCCGTCAAATATTTCAATTTTTATTGGCGCGGTAAGTAAATAAATTATTCGATTTCTGCCGTCGCCGTTGCCGTACAGTAAATACAAGATTGCAATTTCGATGTCGTGGGAATTTATAGAAATTCGGATAATGTTTATTTACACTATCTAGTTCTGTTGAAGAGCACACGTTTGGTCTTTACGTATTAAATGTACTTAAAAATGTTATGTTTTTAAATAAATGGAACGAGTTCGCCAGAGTCTCCCTATGTATTTCATCTCCTTTGTTCCCTGTATCTGATGTACAATGTAAAGAATATAAAAAAAAGAAACAGTATTTTATCTGATACTTAAACCTGCAAATAGAATCAGTAAAATGTTCGGAAATGAAAGTAATATTTAGAAATACACTATTATTTAGGACATACTCATTTCTACTATAAGAATACAGTAAGACGTTAACTAACGAAGGACTTGGTTAGGTTTTTTATGTAATTAAAGTAGAAAAATAAGCTGGCGGTATGTGTAGGGTGTACCTATAAGAAAGATCACTGCTATCATATGACTTCTTAGGGAAATGAAGGTATGAATAGGAACCAATATTCCATCTGAAGTTAAAAGTAATTAGACTAGCAAGGACGATGAACTAAAGCTTCAAGACATTACAAATAAGGTCTCAATGCTAAGTATACATACCTACCCACACCTAGCAATATTCTAAACTACGCAATATAAATATGTACCTAAAATATGAAATGCATCATAGAATACATCAACATTTAATAATTTATATTGATAACTTGTAACGTTTCTTGAAAAATGAACATGTAATGTAAACTATACTCAGATATAAAGGCGATGTAGACTCTTTGATTAATGTCTAGTATACGGAGTAATTCAGATACAGTTCTACTGTATAAGTAAGGTACTGTTCATCCTAGTTCATGCAGACAAAGCTGCGAGTTACAGCTAATACTTAATATTTAACTAGCGTCTATTCCTACCATACGGAATAATTAACTTCAGAGTTGAACTTCATGCAAATACGCAGAGCGCGCTACACCGTAAGCATGTTACACCGTTTCGATTAAACTATTACATGGTATCTAAGTTGTACTTACATATATAAAAGCATACTAGTCCTAGAGTTCGTAACATTTGTTTTTTCTATTTATTATGTTTGTATTGTCACTATGTCTTAAACAAGGATTAAGTGTGCACACATTTAGCTGATTTTAATGTGTTGTATAAGATTATAGTTTCTATAAAAAATAATATTCATTATAAAGATAGTATTTCAATAATATTAATGTTAGTTTAAAAAAAAATATTTTTGCGAAGGACCAGACATAGTTTTGACATCCTTGAAGTAAAATTTTTAAGTAAATATATACAGTTGTCATTTGAATAGTGTTTTTTTTCAATTCCGCTTATACAGATTTATAGACTGAAAGTCTGGAAACTCTGTGAATAATGTATCATCGTTCTATAAGGCTAAAATATATTATAGTGACAAGTACAAATATCACTACCTATCAGGTATCCCTACTAGACGTCATCAATCCATATATTTTATAAGTGTATACAAAAAACCACGCATGTTTGAAAAATTGTGTAACCAAAGAGCATGATTTTAATATACAACCTAAAAATTCTTTAAGTATTTATAACGTAAGAATAGGCATTAATTAGGTTTCGCTTTGTGTTTATAAAATACGGCAAGTGTGTTGGTATTTCACAATAAACAATTGATCTTAAATATTTATAGTCTGTAGGGAATGTTAGACCCATTTCAGGCTTGGCTGCTAGTAACTACGAGTAGTATCAAGTGGAATGATAACAACCCCAACTAATTGCTTGCTGTGCACCGAGTGGATACTTACTTTGTTATTACTTCCTTGACTTTTGTAGCATCAGTTTCTAAGAACAATAATTAGTTATTGTTTTTAGAAAGATACAAATTTCTTTTTTTTTACTTTTTAATATAAAATAAAATTGTATTAGTATTATAAAGTAATTATTAAGTTGGTGGTATTAAAAACAGTTTTTATTTGGTTTCTTAATTTAAAAGAACAATCAAAGCCATATCTTTTTCTCTTTTGCTTTAAATTTAGTTCAGCATGTGCAAAAAAAATTACTTGTATTTTATATATATATGATAACTGCGATCCCAAATTGAAGTTAGGTTAAATAAGAAGTAGATTTTAAATATCTTTAGAATGTAGTGGCTTAATATACGATGGATCCTATGACGTAGTAGTATATTTGGATATTTTCTACATAGATATAGTAATATATATACATATGTATAATTGCCTGAACCAGACTATGTAACATCTCAGGATTGTATTCACATTTTATTTCAACTTGCTGTGAAACTGCTTTGTAAAAGTAATATGTTACAAGGGTATATACAATGAAAGTACCCTTGTTTATATCACAGAATACACATATTTGATAAATATCGTAACGGTTGATGTTGTACTTATGTCAACTGTCTGGTAACTTGGGACAACAAAACACTAAGTCGATACTTTTCTACTTGTTACTACTCCATTACATCATTGTACTTATGTACTAATATACAGATAAATCTAATACAGACAGAATAGGCTTTTGCCAAATGAGGACATGTCAAATACTTGCAACTATCTTATCATTTATATCAATTATTATAAAGTATCAAAACTCTGTTGACGTGACGTTACTCTAGAGATAGTACTTACTATTAGGTATTGTTCACGGAAAAGCCTATATACCATAATCCAATATCCAAACAGAACATCCAACATGTAAATGTAAAATATGCAAATTTTAGCCCGTGTCCTAACTAAAGTAATAATAAATGGTTACTTACGTGCCAGGCTAATATGTTATGGAGACTAGCAATAACCGGCTCACAAGCAAAGGCCATGGTGTTATGACCTTCTTCGATCGAGTGGAGTATTTGAAGCATTTTCGGATGCCTCATCTTCTCCAACATCGATACACATCCTCGGATACGATCCAGCATGGTTTCCTTGCGTTTCACCTTGTACAGTTTTTCGGCGATGCGTTTATCGAACACAAACACCGAGCATTCCTGCAAAAGAAATATAAACATTTAGATATGTATTCTTTTCAATATGTGGGTAACTAAAATCAGCCAATCTTATTGTAAACAATCTGAATAAAATTTTGTTTTATTTAGTGTACTACCTAATAAACTAACTAACTGTCAATGGACTAACTAACTGCTAAGTTTAGTCTAATAAAGCGATATTATTATGCTTATTCTTCTTGAATTGATAACATATGAAAAATATAACATTCACCATATAAGCAGTAGTTGCCAAAATTATGATATTACATGATAGAATGTATTGTGGTATTATATTGTGTTTGAATTTTATCTATCATTTAATAACAAAAACAAAAAATATTGCATAATTGAAACCTTTTTCGGTAGTAGTTTGAAAATTGACTAAGGTAATATAAGGCGAGCCCTATGTTTAGCAGCTGTTTATCTTGTAGCCATCATTACCCTGCCGGCGGCAGGGATCAGCGCCTGTGTTTTTCTTTTCCACCGATATGGGTATCAGCCGTTATGTTTTTACGCATCTCGTTTTTTACGTTCAACATCTTTTTATTCGATAGTTGTTATACTCATGGACGGGTGAAGTAGGGACTGCTTTGATAATTATGACAGATTTTTTTTGTTACTCAGGTAACTATTTATTGATTTATGTTAAGATTGCGCTATTTTATGTTTATTTTCACATATAATTCTTAAAATGTAATTCTGAAGGACATTTACTTAAAAGAACAAGTAAGTTTGTTGCTTATTCTTTTAGTAATGAATCTGCGTTCCGTTGTGGTAGAAAAAAAATATAACTATTCAACAATACTTATATTTATTTTATTTAAAAATATATCATTTCTATTCTATCACTGTTAACTATAGAAAAAAGCATTAGCACCGACATCTTTGATTATTTTCTGTAGGCCACGGAGGATACCTAATAACGCGAATGACATGTTTATGCAAATTTTAGAGTAAAATTACGTATTCACATTGTATTTCGAGCAAGCGGCGGAACGCGCAAAACTCAGGTAAAGTATTTGAAAACAATTTATTGGAAATCTATTTTTATTCGATGCCATAACCTTGTACCTACATATCGAGTATTGCTCAGGTGTTGATCAGATTTACTATTGAGCCTTATGGATAATACAATATTTGATTTTATAAATTAAATGACTGTAGTATTTATTTCAAATATATAGATACTCATTTTGTTACTCTGTGAGCAGTATCTACATTGTAACTTATTGTAAATATGCATACTCATTGTGTACGTCTTGTAAGAAGTCTGTATATTAATAACAAATAATATTTCGTTGTAAGCGTCTTCCTACTTTTTACGATTGAAACAATTTTTTCAGGGAATAATAATTTCAATTAATATATTAATATATGCAAAATACGCGTACGAAAACAAAGATATATACATATGTAATTTAGAGACATAGGTACATAAATGGGTAAAGCGAGCTTTAGAATCATAGTTTGTTAAAGAACGGGTTGAATATCTAATTATTCGGCGAAACGCTTGCGAATAGATTTGGCGTATATTGCGTATTATAAATTTAGACTATGATAACATAATGTACACATAATTGCGATGACACAGAGTTTATAACACAGAAGGTTATCATGAATTTATTAGAAACGTATTCGACGCATAAATTGAAATATCATTAGTAGGTATACAAATGAATACGCAAGGAATCAATCGCATTCTCTATATCAATTCAAACGATTTTTCGGGAATAAAGGAAAAATAATCAAAACTTGCTTCGAATAGGTTAGGATTTGTTAATTATATAGGCATTAATACGACTCTGTACATGTGCAATGACTTATACACAACGAACCCTCCTCCGATCAATCCCCTGTCTAATCCCAACGGGGATCGAAATTACGTCGGCCTGTGAACTCCTGGCGGTGTCCTCGGACTGAAGTAGCATCCGCCAGGCATAAAGTGGCCTTCAGCGTATCTATAAGTTTCTCACTGCACTATTTTCGTTAAATGAAGCTGTCAGGGCCAACTATGGCCAACAGCAGTTTGAAAACAGGCGATAATGCAATTAGCATCTGAAAGTGTACATCAAATGTGATATAAAATCGACTTCTTGCTGGTAATATACTTAGTGTGTGATGATGATGTTAAAATAGAGTACAATTTTTTTGTCGAATAAAGAATTCGAAGATCATTTTTTTACTAAAAATGATATATCAGGTCATCTTTTTACTAAAAATTATAATTTTGCAAATTGATAAACAATAATCTCTGCGCCTATAATACCTATTTATCGAGATCTAAGGTATTATATCTCGATAAATAGGTATTGAAATTAGTTATCCATGTCTAGTTTGTAAACTGCGATTCCAAAGTGTAGTTAGAAATGTGTTTATACCTAGGTATAAATAAAGTAAGGCGGTGAACTGACTTCACTGAGGTATTTTGTTATTTTAAGACTGGTCAAATTGGGAAGGTTCTTAGCTATATTTAGAAATCAGACGACCCCAACCCAATAGGGGTTAAATGGTTTAAGGGTTTTTAACTTAAATTATCGAATTTGTAGCAGTAACTCTAATAACGTACCCAATATGGACTCCGCTTTATTTGTAACTGCGCAGAAATTCCATATTCGAAAGTCAGATAAAAATCCATTTATTTTTTTGAACTGGATTTCGTTACGCGACAACAATACACGTAGTTGTAATGGATATGAAGCAATATTACATCTGCTATGAAACGAACTCTGATCGCTCGCTATTATGCGGACACAAAAGGCTTAAATCGCCAGCGAGATGCCATGGAGCATAGTCATTGATGTCTGTAACTAGCTTAACTTCTACAATTGACACCTAGATAATATTATACCTTAATAATAGTGACCATTATTTATTACTAGCTGACTAGCACAACTTCGTTTGCATCACACTTACTCGGCATTTATCATTATATTTCGGCCAATTTACATACTATCTTTTTAATTTCTAGCCTATGTACTATTCTGATGTATAAGCTATATTACTGCCAAGTTTCATCAAAATCCGTTTAGTAGTTTTTGTGTGAAAGAGTAACAAACATCCGTCCATACTCACAAACTTTCGCGTTTATAATATTAATAATAAGATTATTACAATTGGAGATCAGGTTGATTGAACAGAAGACTTTTGAAGGGTGCCTCGCTTATCACACCACTATGTCTTGTGTCTAGAACCGCTCATGCATCACCATTCCAGAGTACTAAGATGTTATGCTGTAACCTGTAATTTCACTACCAGAATTCTTACGAAGCTGCTCTGAGACTAGCAATTTAAAGCGACAGAGGTACCCACGATATTGTCCAAAAACTGTGGTGTTATTAGAATTATGAATGAAATATATTGCAACATAATTAATTGATATTGTCTTTATTTTAGTATTTAGTTAATCTGTTTTCTTTAAATTATAGATGTTTCTATACCGATTGATTATTGTATGAAATATAGTTAGTTGCCCAATAAACTCGAAATTGGTTACTACAGTCTGTACAAATGAACGATACTATGAACATATGAGTATGACATACACTTTTGTATCGGAAATTACACAGGCTCTATCACCGCGGGTCCCTCCAAAGAAAAGCGTCCATGTTTTTTTTCATTTAAACACAATTTTTTATATGTTTGACATGGTACCTACATGAGGAAAACTGTACTATCGGTGATTTTGGATAAGTGAGTATTCATACTAAATTATTCGTAGTAACTATTGTTATATAATATATCAGATTTCAAAAAGATTCTCATAGACAGAATAATTATAGTTTTTTTTTTAAATATACATATATGACGTGAACTATTACATTGCTGCAAATATGTTAACAATAGAACAGTTCACCTATCTTTATCTACATGAGTTTTAATATTACATAAGCATTTATTAATTGCTCAATTATTAGTTTAATTGAAAGATACTAGAAAAATATATTTTCCTTTTACGTTAATACCAGAAATTCTTTCCTTAATTGGAGAGTTATTGTGCGACGTCTAATAAGACACGGTATCGAGAAAATAAGATTTCCGAAATAATACGATCATTTCGCTTAGTACTGCTTTACAAGAAACTCTAAGAATACTATCCATACCTATAGGGAGAGTGAAATGTTCTCTCAAATGGATGGCAGTGACATGTAATGCGTGAATTTTATGGGTTAACTAATGTGACTTCACGATACTCCACTGGTTCTCTATCAGCGTATTCCTACCGCTAGAGTTGGTGGATATATCATTCTAATATCATCAATTAAAAACCCACAAAACTAAACATAAACAGAACAACAACTAAAGGGTTTTTATTAGTAAAAGCAATATCTTACAGACAATAATAATTAACCTAGTCGAGATTCGAATCTATACTCTATTTTCATTAAATAACATACATTTCTGGTAGCCAACTAACTTAATGATTAAATTCTTAACTTCGGTCGAAGTTTATAGATACTTCCGTGTACAGATACTTCGTAAATGGAGAGACTAGATAGAACCTATCTTAAATCAATCTTACTTTGTAGACTGAAATGACCGAATGAGCTTTAGAGAATTTATAACCCACAGAGGAGTATAGGATGGATTTTGATTGATCAAAGATTATCAGAATACCTATGGTAACTGCAAGTAAAAGATTAACTGCGCATTTACAAAGCTATCATTATAAGTTTAAGTATCTAGCAGTTCATTACATTTCGACTTGTAATTTAAAAAATTAATATTTTTTAAATTAAAAAAATATTTTTTTTTAATTATCTTTACCACATACATTAGTGCTTAGCAAGTAAAAGTAATAGTTAATAAAGTTACTAAAAGATCAAAAATTGGGGAAAAAAGAATAACATTGTTTTAAATTTCGATGTTTGGAAATTTCAGAGAGGCTCTGCTGTGACTTCGTATAAAACATTCAATGTACTTAGTAAATACTAGGTGAAAGACCGAATGGAAAAAATGACAGTTATTCCCAATCAACTTTGAAATACTACTAGCTCTACGGA